CATTACAAAAAAAAGTCTCAACATTTTAGGAAGAGGGGGATTATATGTTGAAACAGGTTATATCTTTCTGAAGTACCAATACATAGAATTAGTTTTTTTGTTGTTGCTGTAAGAGGCAATGCTGAGTATTTAGGTGTAAAATAAAATGTGCTCATTGTTGCTTTAAATTAGGATGGATAATGTTTTTCATTGCTAACCTCCATGGGCTCTCCATATGTGACTGGGCCCACGAAAACTTTCCCCTTCATCCCCCGTTGTGGGCGGCCTTGTTACCATATAAGTATCATATCAAGTAAAATGTGTGAGCAATACTGTGACATTTTTCTTCACATTTTTGTCTGTTAGTGGAAATCAAGTTGTTTACTTGCCTGTATGCTGATATAATAAACATGTTGTATTTAAAGTGACTAACCTATGGATACATGGGGATTTCATCGTATTTAAAAACAGGACAGCGACGGAAACACGAATGTTCTGAAACTACTGACACTGTGTGTGAACCATGTCCAACAGCCCAGTACATGGAGGGCAGAAACTACTCTCCAAACTGCAGAAGCTGCAAAAGGTGCAGAGAAGGTAAGAAGCCGCCCTTCAAATGTCTGTCAAAAAACATATTGTTTTTCAATTACTTATCAGTATATTGCTTTGTTTCATTTTCTAAACAAACTCGCCTTGTAAGCAAAACATCCCCCCCCCAACCAAAAACAGATAAAGGTCTGCAGTATGCCGTGAACTGCACAGCAACTGTAAATTCAAAGTGTCAGTGCCAACCCGGGAAGTACTGCACCCTGGGATTTGAAGACCCATACTGTGACGAGTGTAGCTTTTACAGTCGATGCAAGGCTGGTTATGGAGTGTCTGAGCCAGGTATGAAGCTTTTGTCCATTTTTTAATGTTTATTTGATTTTACAGATGAACAACTGGGTTTCATCTTGGCTGACAAGCTTTTTTTTCAATCTGGAGATGACAACAGTTGAATATAACTTAAGGGCCAATTCCTCTTGCTTCTCTGAGAAATCAAATGACTAATTTATAGAGATGATAAAAAAGTGTATTACTGTAAAACAAGTTTTGTTTTCTTGAGCTTAGAGACTGCAATTAACATTACAGACCTCAAAGATGATTATTTGGTATATGGGGGGGGCATTAAAAGTAACGCATGAACACCAAGATTCCTTCAAGTGTTTGTGTCGTCGTGTCACCGTGTCGGCATGTCGGCTTGTCCCCACCCCCCCAACGCTTTAAACCTAGGGGAAACACTGAACATCAAACCTCAGATATAGGATCCCCGGTTTTAATAAGGTCAGACTAAAAGACTCTTTTGTACAACAGTCAATCCTAAAAATGAATTACGGAGCTGAATTCCAGATAAAGCATGTTGAAGGCCTCTGAATGTTAGTTTGATATTTTAAAGATTAGTTAAATGTTTGTATCTTTGTCTCTTGTCTTTAATTTTTATGTTGCGAATGGAGCCGCTGTGATGCCAGAAAGATTTCAGACTTATGACAATAAATTCCTATAAATTCATCAATCAATAAATCAATCAATACATTTATTTCACTGTCATATTTCAAGTTTAAAGGACAATCTTCTGCATTGATCAATACTGTGTACTCTTCGATTTGACATATTCAGCCAAATTAATTGTTTTAATTTTCAAGAAGTCATCAATGCATCACAAACGATTTGTTGTTTTTCTTGGTTTTAAAGTAATTAACCTATGACCTTGAGATAATCTAAAAAAAAGTAACCGCAATAACAGCAGTTTTTTTGCGTCCGTAGTTACCATTTATGTCATTCTTACATAATTTTTTGAAAAGTGAGAATTCAAGTTTTCAATGTTGCACATGTGAATTCACGAGTTTCCTATCGACAATCAATCTGTCTAAGTTTTTAAATCATCTTTTAAATTGAACTAATTGATCAAACCAAATGCATTAAACCATCGTAAAAGTTTAAGCCTTATCCACAGTTGTTAACTCTAGTGTGTGTTATAAAGTTTATAAGTGTTAACTTAGTTACATTTAATGACTGATAGTAAAATGTTCTAAAACAACAACATGATATTTTCAGGGACGGCTGACACAAATGTGAGGTGTAAACGCTGCCCAAATGGGACGTTTTCTGATACAGACTCCTCCACCGACCCATGTCTGCCTCATACAAAGTGAGTGAAGGATAGTCACATCTGTAAACAGATGTTTGGAGCTCGTTTTTTTTTTTTTTTTAACCCTTCTTTCTCTGTGTCTATACAGCTGTCATGGGAGGGCTGTTGTTAGAAAAGGCAACGCTACCTCAAACACTGTGTGTGAACCGGAGCTCACAGGGCCTCAAAGCTCACCGAAAGACATTCACTTAGAAGTTGTGTTGACAAGTGCAAGAATGACGAGCACGATGAGCACGATGAGCACGATGAGCAACATCGCAGCAACCTCAGACTCCAAGGCTCCAGGTGGGCCAACTGACGCCACACCATCTATCAACCTGACGTTACCAGAGACAGTTTTCAATCACTCAACAAAAAGCCCCCCACGAAGCACACATTTACCCGCAGAGAGTGAGAGTAAACTGGGTAGGGAGACGGATTTTTTGAAGAAGTCATGATAAGAAAAGTGTGAGGTGTATTAGCATTTAAAATCCCCCTCTTTCTTCTTCTGTTCTGTGTTTCTGTTTACCTCTCTGTTAGCTGCAGTCATTGCTACTGTCACTGGATTGATACTTCTTTTCATCGTCATAATGCTGGTGTGCCTTTGGAAAACAGTCTGTAAGAAAGGTAACCTCCCTGCAAAAAAAGAGAATTAATCATGTCGCTGTTTTGTCGTAAAACTCTGATTGTATCTAGATTCTTTGAATCCTCGAGTTGAAAATAAGAACAATAATAATGTTGACTAATTATGGTCATTATCTGGAGCAGTGTCCTACATTACTCACCCTCACTGCATGTTCGCTCTGCTTTTTCGCCCAGATGCTGCACTTTTTTATCCTAAAGTAGACGCAAATGGAAATTGTGAGGCTGGTGATGAAGTAAGTCTTCTTTTGCTTTTTTTTTTTAATACCAATCAAATGAAGTTATTAGTGTAAAGTATAGACCTAACCTTTCTGTGTCTTCCTACAGCAGAACAAAGAAAGTATTTCTGGGGAAACCCAGCTGATCTCATTTACATTAGCTCCACCAGAACAACAGCTTCTGCTGGAGAAAGGGGAAGCCTTCAATGATCAGAGTCAGCGTACTAACAACACCGAAAGTTTAACCAGAACATGCGGGTGCAGCAGCGAAGAGTCCATCGGGCCTCTGCAGTCCACAACATGTCTCCATGAGCCACACTCTGCTCTGTCGGAGCCCTTGCCTTTACTTTCCAACACAGATCCGGACTCTTCACAGACCAGCATTGCCGCACAGGCCTCCCAACAGCCCACCGCGACCACAAGCCCCCAGGTCAACGTGAACATCACCTTCAACATAGGAAATGGCTCTGCTGGGACACCGTCTGTCATGCCCGCAGACTTGATGCAGCCAGATTGTAAACTCCCCTTTGGAGAAGAAGAGAAGTCATTAAACATCCCACAGCAAGAGGCTGGAAAAACAACAGTCATGTCAGTGCAAGAGAGTGTAAGTCACAGTATATGAAGGGACATTTGAGAACTTTGAAAACAATCTGAAAGACTTCAAGCCGCACCTGTAGGTTACGGCATCATTTGTCGAAGACAACAAGACTGATAACATTTATTCTGTTTCCTATTTCCAATTCATTCACTTCCAGTGTGTATAAAAACGTGTACAGAAATACATATACTGTAAATAAAAATGTGAAATTGTCTTTCCTTCAGTGATGTGGTTAATTACAGCCCCAGGTGCTACATTTTCCATAATATATTTATCTCATATACATTGTAAAATGTATGAACTTCATTTGGAACTTGTAAAATTACTTATAATAAACATTATTTTCCTATAAGTAATGAGCTTCTTTAGCAATACAAAATGCTTTAATGCAGTCCCATCATTGATAATTAATATTAAAAGTAAAGATGTATTTGGAGTAAATTGTACTTATTATCAAAATAAAATGTACTAATTAGAGGCCTCTGCGTTGTTGATTTATAATTTAAAAAAACACTGCAGGGGCCTGAGACACATGAAATTCTATGTAGGCAGTATCACTAGGGAGCTCTTCACTTCTTGTGGTATTTATTAATTTGGTTTCAATGTTCCATGTTTACAATTATGACAAGGTAGAGGCTTAAATGGAAATACCAATAGTCAAACAAAGTACAAGTCTGTTATATTTCAAATGCAAAGGAAATACTGATGCTAGTTAAGTAGCTGCACTAAAAATGTAGCACATGGGGTTATAAAGGGAGATCAAACCTGTGGGCCTGTTGACCTGTACTTCCATAATGTTGCTAGTGTGAGTCACAAAAGGCACATTAAGCCAAAAGAGAGAGATATTCGCCTGGTGACCTCCTAAAAGTGTAAGGCAACATGTGTGTGTGACAATAATAGACTCTTGTGGCAACATGTGGACGCTCCTGACACCTGCTGGTGGAAGGCGCGCACTACAGCCTGAGCACCTCCAGTTCGACTCCTTCAAACGTGTCAGTGAACAGTAAGAGTCCACTTTGACGACAATGTCTATACTAAACAGGCTTTGGTAAAGTGAAGATCAGTTTACGTGTCACATTTAAGTTCATATATCTTTAACAGATATGTTTGTTGTAATCAAGGCAGCTAATGAGCGATGCGAACCGGTAAAACGAGGAGAGAAGACGTCTGAGCCAGTCCATTATTAGTTGGAGACATAACTTCAATTCTTTTTTTCTTTTCTTTAGCGTTTAAGCCCAAAATTCACAAACAAAACCCCTTAAATACGGAAATTAAATCAAACTGATCTCCATTTTCCCTTTGAAATGTATCTATCCACAAACTGAAGTTAACCTGTAAGGATTACGCTTGATAACTCCCCCCCCATCGTTCAACACAGATGGTTTCGTCTGTTGCCGCTGTGTGTTGCTCTCCTTCCTGAAAGACACTCGCATTGGAGCCGCTGATGTCGCTAAGCTCAGGCTGGTAAGTTTAGGCTTTTTTTTTTATCTATACATATTTATTATTTATTTAATGGACTATCAGCTTTTTACACATATACCCCTCATATATTCATCCAGAATCCAGCTTTTTTTAAATATAGCTTTCCTCCCCTTTTTTTTTTTTAAATGCCCCTCTCTTCCTCCCGCTGTGGCTGCTTGTCTCGTGAACCTGGTTCGCTTATGTTTACAAATCCAGAACAAGTCAGTAAAATAGCATGAATGCTAAGCTACATGTAAGATATTTGCTCGTCAGCTTGTGGTGAGGTGGTAATTATTATGAACGTCAGTCCAGCCTGTAGCTTCCCTCTTCATAAGGGATTTTTCTTCTTCACACCGGGGTGGGAGGAAGACAGCAGCGGAGATAATACCGCTGCAGGTGTTTCCTTGTTTCCCTGTTGGTGTGTGCAGACACTTGGCCGTGGAAATCAACAAATCAACAACCTTAAGAGAGGGGGACAGAGATGTAGCAATTATTTCCTTTAAAGCATCAACATATTAAGTTTTATTCCCAGGTAAAGAGGAAGCTAACAGAAGTGGAACTAGATGGCATCTATTAAACTGTACTGTAAAAACAAATAATAAAATGAAAGGTTAAAAGTGAAACCTATGACTTGTTACAAGTTCTGTCCCGTATCATTATCAGGTTGTGTTAGTTTGAAAGGTTTTTGATTGATAACTTATGTCCTGATTTTCTTCTCCAGCAGTTCTTTCTTACATTCATGACATATTATTATAAAAGGGAGAAAAAGTGAACAATACAATTGAAGAAGTTGAAGCTGTAATGTGCTTGGCTGATTTTCGTGCTGAATTATGTCCTGTTGATGTACTTATCAATTTATTTACAACCCCCTCTCTCTCACCGCTACAGATAGTAATCAAATTAAAAAGTAAGATTTATGAGAAACGGTCTTTCACTGAAGTCTGCTTTGTCAATGTGCAACCAAAACAATCTGCCCCTGTAAATGATTTCTTTGCCGTTAATGCACTAAACAATGCCTGTCTGCATAATAAAAGATAACTGGTCTCTAATTCTTGTCATTTGCTTTATTCCAATAGAGACAATAAAGGTGAACAACACGATTCCTGAAGATATTGTCAACTCCCACATGGCAGTGATCCACTGACTTGAACATTAAACCAAGTACACTCCTCTTCAGATTACATTGCCTTCTTAGATGCCGCTCAGTCTCTGTCTTTGCAAATGGCTTGTTGTCTGAAGGACGAGCTCCTCTGTTCCATCTGCCTCAGCATCTACCAAGACCCTGTCAGCTTTGGCTGCGAGCACTACTTCTGCAGAAAGTGTATCACCGAGCACTGGAGCAGACAGGAGCCTCACGGAACGAGGGACTGTCCTGAGTGCCGCAGGACCTTCGCCGACCCCCTCCTCTCGCCCAGTCTCAAGCTGTCCAACATTGTGGAGCGCTACTCGGCCTTCCCTCTGGACGCCATCCTCAACGCTCAGAGGAGCTCCTACCCCTGCAAGGACCACGAGAAGGTCAAGCTCTTTTGCCTCACCGACAAAAGTCTGGTGTGCTTCTTCTGCGACGAGCCGGCACTACACGAGCAGCACCAAGTAACCACTATTGACGAGGCGTACGAGGAGATACAGGTCAGTTATAGCACACACGCAATCTGACAGCTCATTAGCCAGGGCGAGGTTGACTTTCCCTTAAAACCCATCAGCACTCTGTTACACATTCAGGCACTTGCACTCATTCAACCCCATGGGAGCTGCCCAGACAGTTCAGCCTCAGACCTCTGCTCCCACTCAGGCAGTTTGGGGATTCAGCACTTTGCTCATGAGTACAGAAGTTACTGAGGAATAAAATGTATCTCATTTAATTTGCCCTCACTGATGCCCTCATTACCTGGCTCATCTGTGAGTTCAGTTTGGTGTCATTCTTTTGAGCTAAAGGGTCATATATATATATATATATATATATATATATATATATTTTGCCTGCATTGCTTATAATAAATCACACATTTAAATTCATGAATTATTTCTTGAAAAGTATGATGACAAATGCAACATTGATGATGTGCTCTGTATTTAATAGTATCTGAGTGTTGCATTGATTTAGATGAATGAAGTGAAGTAGGTCTCAGTAGAAAAGGAAGCCTAGTCTTTGTTGAAACGAGAATAACACAAGTTTAAATCAAATGGTTTTTTTTTCACAAGGTCTTTTGCTGCTTCCTTTTAAAGCTTATGTTGATGTGATCTTACGTTGAGTCACATTTTCCACATTAACAGGAAGGCTTCAGTCAGTGTTTGCTTTCCTCTCACTGTTTGGATTATTCCATACCCACTGAGCCAAAATCCAATAACTGTGAAACAAAGCTCTAATCCTGTTCCTTCTTTGCCCGGGTATGCAAAGAAACATTCCAAAGTAATTTCATGTAGTCAGTCTCATGTCTTACATCTGCTCTAACTGATGTGTAGACGTGAAGATCTGCTCAAAGCGACCTGAAAACATTTTGTTTGCAGGTTTCTTGGCAGACTTCATCTTGCACTCTCTTAAAAGAAACAGACTAGTGTGTTGATGGTTAACACTCAGCTTGCTAAAGGCTTATGAAAGGTTTACACTCTCCCACTGCAGCTGGGAGAAATGCTAGATGTCACACTTACATAATCCTTTTTCCTTTGTTTCAAGGTTTTATTCCTTCATAACTTTAAGTTACTCTACATTGTTTCCCTGTATATCTACCTCTTTAAAATGCCACAGACCCTGTCATTTTGAGGGTTACTGTATTAACCAGTCCTTCCTTTCTGCGGACACTGTATCAATGAGATGGCCTCAGCCTTTTGACTATTCATTACACTGAACATAAAACACTGCTCTAAAGTTTCTCTTTGACACTGGCAGGCTTATTTTGCCCTCACTGCTCTCAAGTCTCTGAGTAGATTTCTGCACAGGCTGAATGATAAACACCATCCAGTAGAGAAAAGGATGACTAACTTCATGAACAATACCAGTGTTTAATAATGGCATGTATTGCAAAGATGATGTAAAAATATCTTTAATTATTGCCTAAGGATGTCATCAACTACCGAAGACATTTAAACTGAAACTCTGTTGTCATCTGACATGCCAGTCAGATGCTCTACTGTCCGTTAGTGCTGGTCACACTGAAAGATATAATTCACGTATTTGTAAATTAAATTGTTGTCCAAGTTAGTAATGTCAAACAATATTTACGTTACATCTATATTAAATATTTAAGGTGGTAGATCTACCAGCAGCTGACAGGATCTCTGATTTCTAGGTCATAAAACTAAATTTACTAAAAGCTGAAAATAGCAACTAGTTTGGATAATATCGCAGCTACACCGTTTTTAGTGAAAAATTACTTATAATAGAACAAATGTTAAAACCAAAAGCGCCTTTCACAAACGCATCCAGACAATTGTCAGAAAATTTCAGGACAATCTGTCCCTGACATATTCAAGAGATTTGATTTAACACTATTATTTTTTAACTATTATTAACACTATTTTATTATTATTATTATTATTATTAACACACGTCCCTCACAGGGGGAGATGCATAATAGAAACAACATAACCCCGCCCACTCGGTAGCAGTGAAATGTTATCAATATTTCCTGCTGTGTTCACACACTGGCTCACCCTGACTTTTTGCAGAAAATGTACTTGACAGCTGGCAGGAAGAAGTCCGGATAAAATGGATTTAATGGCGTAAAAAAAACAATTTGTGTTCACACCTGCAGCTTACCCTGAAATATATAAGGTTTTATTCAGGATGTGCAAACTGACTGCTTCTATAGCAATAGTTACTCCAGCCGTCTTGTTTACTGATATTTAAGTTGCAGGACAGATGATGTACCGAATTAATCTAAACTGCTGATTGCACTGGTGTTTTCTGTCAGCATCAATTGTGTCTTTGCAAACTATGTGCACATCAATTCCAACTGTTTTCCATTTCTTTAATGTTTTTTTCAGCTTTCTAATCTTGTTTTCCACATAATAGCTGCCTTCTTTTATCTTATCTGGGCTGACAGATACACACACATAAATGCATGCTGATTCTGATTCTGTTTGGCAAAACAAATACTCACTTCAAACAAAAATGGATTTGAGTGTAATTTTTAGGCTTAATATGAATTGCTTTAAAGTTTTATTATTTGAATAGATCAAAATCCTGAAAGTTGGAACTGGATAATGAATATTAACTCCATGGAAATGGGTTGGAGGAGAGAATTAGGAATTAAGAAATTAAAATAAAAGACAAGTGCATTGATTTAAGTTAATGGCTTAAACGTAAACCTAGTTGTACAGCTGTGCCCCTATGTGTTCTGCATTAAATTGAATTAAAACGGCGCTGTGATCATCAACGCTGTCCTCCTTCATTTCCAATGACGCTTTGCGCTGGAAGCCTGAGAAAGGTCATAACTGTGTAATCTTGGAGCAGAAGTAATTAGGCCCAACACAAGATGTTTCTCTTTTCTTGGAGACCAGCTTGTCCCTCTTCTTGGAGCTTTTTTCAAGGCGGTGATCTGGCATTTTGAATTCTGCCAGGAGCTTTGGAGGCTTCCCAGATCTACAATACAGAAACAGAGCACAAGTACACAGAGGCCCCCTCGGAAAACAACCATGTCCCATGATGAGTTTGGCATACTGGCCTTTTAAGATCCACAAGTGGGCTGATTTGTTTCTTAATGCCTCGTCCTTAGCATACAAACACTTCTTTTTTACATCACAATGTACATTTGATTACCAATGTGTGAACTATATTCTCTGAATCTGGTTGGGCAGTCATATTAGCTAACTTGCAAGGTTACTTAAGGTGTATTTTCCTGCCAGTGAGCAGATTGAAGCTGTGTCTGAAACACACAGCTAAATGTGTGAGAATCCTGCCTGCAGCCATAAACTCTGCTTTTAGCATAAGGCTCAACAATGCTTAACTAAAGAGCCAAAGCAACATGCTGAGGATGTGTTAAGGCGTAGCAGCAATCAGCTCCTGTGTTTTTGCACATGTCGTGCCAGCTTGGTGACCTCTTTAAAAAATGAACCCCACAGTTTTTGTGTTCAAGTTTCTAAAGGAGGGGGGGAAAGGATTTGGTAGGTCGAGAGCCAAAGCTTGGCCTTGTTGTGTTGAATTGTTTGACACTTTGGCACTTGGAATTTGGGATTTAGCTTAAACCGTGCATACTTTTGTGTCTCCATAAATTGCTCTCTCCTCTGCCTCTCAGTGTGAGATAACTCATCATTTGTGTGGTTATTTAGAACAGCAACTCCTCACAAGAGGGGGTGGAGAACATGCGTGACCACAAGTAAAAAATGAACAGAGTCATGTTTTTATTCTCTGTGAAAACAAAAGAAAAAGACCTTGCTGATGGTTTATTATTTCTCTCTGTTCTCCCAGAAGTGTTTGCTTTTTAGGTTACGTCATCCTCATCTCATCTGTGTCCCTCCATCACCTTGTTTTTGTCAGCCCAGCTGTCTTTAAACCCAACGACATGCTCATGATCGGTTTGTTTCGCAATCACAGCAGATTGAAAAATCTAAAGTTAAAATACAGAAACACAACACATCGTCTGTCAACGCAGAAATTGCTGCATGATTTCACTGTAAGGGCTCAATTGCCAAATAAATCTTAATCTCAAAGAGACTTTCTGAATAATTACACCCTAATTTTCTTGCACTGTAAAAACTTTTCCAAGCTTTAACTCAGTGTTACATCACGTTTCAATCTCAAAATATTCTCACACAGACTTTATCCCCAGAGGGTTCAGATCAACATCACTCTCCTGCTATGTCACACCACCCCTGTCTTGTCGCTCTGTGTTGTCAGTTTATGTGGCCGGCTGGTGTCTGCTGATGAGGACAGCCTGTGGTCGGTCTGCGGCCGGCTGTATAATCTCCTTAGCCTGGCATGTCACTGTGCTGACCTCGGGCCCAGAGTCCTGTTCCTGCGTCGACAGCTTTACCTCCTGCAGATTTGCATCCTTTTCCCCCCTTAAGTAAAACGCTCCTGCAGCCAAATGTGAAATGCACAAACACATTTAGCAGGGTGGTGCACACACATCTGGCATCCATCCATTCTGCAAACACATAACTGCATCCTCATCAACATAAAGGACATTAAGGTAGGATGGAGGGGGATTTGTCTGCTGCAGTGCCATTTGGAAGCAGAGATTTCACAGTGAACTAATGCATGTTTTTCGTTTTATTCCAGTAATCATTATGCACAGCTATTTACACAATTTAAATGTAAGGTACAAGAGCAGCGAGTATTCCTCATGCAAAATCATCTCAAACTTCTTAACGTTAACATGAAAATGAGCTTCAATCAGCGCCAGACACCTCCAGATTTTCAATACACGTCAAGCATCTTTTTCATTTGTTGTGATTTTTTTGATAACTATAAAGCCAGACATTCTTAAATACAGAGCCACATCCCTCAGCTGGTAAACTATGGGCTCTATGTTCTGTGAAATGATGCCTGTATTTTAGGCAACATGTTTAATGGTGATGAGATTACAGTCCCCTCCCTCAGCTGTGCTGCTCTTGGCGCCAGCTTAAATTAGAGGTTGGCTGGATCGCCATAGCTCTGATTGGAGCGGGGAAGAAGCTGTGCACTTATT